GTCTAATTCTCATAACTTCAAACATTTGAATACGTTGCAATGTTTTTGAATTTGAATTCAATCAAAGTACTCTGTGAGGCAATTTATTCATTTCAAGTTGATTAAGTACATACATTGAGCTTCAGGCTCTTTCTCTTCTTCTAGATGTCTTTGTGCAATTTATATATTGCATGATACATTATATCTCTTAGGATTTATTCCTTTATATTTTTCAAGAAATCGCTTATGACGATATGTTTCAGACACTTCATAATCTTTATAGATTTTTCATCTCAAATTCCTTTATTAAATCAGGGGAAGCCTTTGTAAACTCTTCAAGAGTTTTAACAAAATTCTTCATTTATATACTGCAATGATGGTAAACTCATTTCCAAATTATATATATATCCCTTTTGTAATAGATATTCATTAAGACGATTATACCATATTCTTCCACAAAACTTCAATCCACACTAGGATCATTACAAACCATCATATTTTAAATCATTTGCTTCAGGCATTCTGAATCCTTCAGGAATTTTCATACACATGAATTTTCCATAAATATGCATAACATAGCTACATATGTTTACCATCATAATCCCATGTCTTTACTAGGAAACGTTGTGCCATATCATCAAGTGATTTATTTCACTTCATCTCAAACACCAATTTATAACATATACGTTTTCATATCCTTTTGGTGTTTTAACTATAGGTTCAATCATTGCACTTTTTCTGAAAATTTTCAACTTTACTGGATTGCCTCTTCCAGTTGACCAATCTTTATTTACATTTGTCGACAATTATAACAAGTGGTGCAATATCATCATGTATAGCCCTTGATAACTTCAATACATACTATAAACCAATATATCATCAATTTGTGATCCCAGGATTCTCATGTGCATGCGCATGCATAATTTATAAGCATCTCATCGCTTTCATTATTTTCTGGTACTAGTGCCACTTCAGAGGCTTTCATTGTCACTTCATGGACAAATATCTCTTCTAAGATGTATAATTTATAGAATATGGATCATAACCTCTTCTAGAGCGTTATTTTGAATAGGGCTTAAACTTTGCAATTAATCTCCACTTCTGAGTAGTTAAGTCTTTGGAACCTATAGATTTGTCATGCTTCAGGCATCCAATTGCTTTTATGGGGAGTTCAGTTTTTTGCAATCTATAAATCTATCATGCATCAGGCATGCAACAAATTGGTTATTAGTAGTCACTTGTTGTGTGTCTGTATATGTTTCTGGCATTTGATAAGCTTCTGGTTATTTGACTTACAATCCTTGTTGTGTCTGAATATGCTTCTGGTCACTTGTTGAGTGTCTTATACCAATTTGTTTGATGAGACAATAATAAATATATTTCATAATTATTCACGTCGTTCTTTGTTTTTTCAGGAACAACCAATTCTCCCCCTAACGACGTGAAAATATTCTCGTAAAAAATGACATCATGAGTGTCATAAGTGTTGTCATTCAAGATCTTAACTCATACAATTTATTACACATTAGTCTTGCATTACATTAACACTGTCATATCTTTGAGTCGCTCTTCTGGGGCTTTACTTATGTAGTGTATTATTAGTGTAACACTGTCCTTCAAGCCATTCTTCTGGAACAGTCTTTTGTAAATAATGTAAGTCATTCTTCTGAAACAATGTTCTTCTTAAACAGTCCTATCTATTCATTTGGTCACCACTAAAGATGACATACAAAATATCAAAATACTAATAAGAGTACAAGCATGAAATAACACAAGTATTGCTTACATCTATTGGTATGAAAAATTTTACTCAAAGATTCTTCAAACTCGAATTTGCTCTGCAAATACAATGAGGCACTTGATGATCTAGTTATATCCTGCAAGAGCAAAAACAAGACAAAACGATAAATAAAAAAAATGCAGTTCTTTTACTTTTGACATAATAAAAAAGTTAGGCTTGATCAGTATACAGATGTCTCAATTTCAGATTTTTTTTAGGGATTTGTTCTTCAGATGAAGGATCTAAAGACACTACATTCCCTTAGAACCGAGAGTGGTCAAAAGAAAGAAAAGAACTGATTTTGATTGCAAGGTAGGTAAGCAATCAAAGAAGGAAACTGGTGAAGTAACAGACAACAAACTCTCATCTCTCCTAGCCTAGAAGAACTTCAGGAGATTAGAGCGATGTGCTCCTTCTTGACTGCCCTATGGTCCCTTACAATCACATAAACGTGATAAGAGATAGTCTTGCTTCTTAAACATATTAAGTATAAACTAATAGGAAAAATAAGTTGATAATGCATCTTTCGATAAGAAAATTGGATGTGTTCTGCAAGAAAGTTTGTTAGTAACGTATTTATACACAAGATAAGGAATAAATCTTAAACATTAAATATCATTTAACCACATAAAATTTTAAGATTTTCGAGACACTTTGAAAAAGTGACTCTGTGAAATCCGTAAGGATAGTATTCGGTTGACAATAATTGTCCTCATGACCCCTAAACTGCCGACAGACTTTAATGAAGGACGTGTGAAGTTTTGAGATTTGGGAAAGAAAATGAGAATATTGGGATCCTGGAAATGTTGTCACATTTCCATCTATAGATATTCCCTTTGTAAAGCCTGATTGGAGTAAGTGTGTTTCAACTCAAATTCCTTCCATTTTCTGAAAGTTCATCTTTTCTAAGAAGTTTCCTCAAAACTTTGAAAATGGCTTCCTCTTCTTCCCGCCCAAAACGTTTCCATTTAAATGTCGTTCCCAAAACAACTAGTGATGCCAAAGTCTGGCGTCCATCATTTGTATCCCAAAATCGTCATCTCACGGTTAATGATTATGTGATGATGAATGATACAACTGCTATCATAGTAGCTAGGAATGTCCTTACTCCTATGGATGAAATACTATTAAGAAGAAGGTCTCAGGAAGAAGCTATTGAGGATTCAATGGCTTTTAGCATTCAGAGTGCCGCTTCTGTTTCTAACTTTGCTGAACGTTTGTGTGCCAGAGCAAACGAGATTCATGAGCTAAACACTGAAAATTCATCTCCTCGGAGAATGCTTCATGAGTCTCAACAAGAGGTTGAAATCCTTAAAAAGGAAAATAAGGCTTTGTTGGAACTGGTGAGTTCATACTCCATTGATACGCAGACACATGCTGTAGATTTCCAATGAAAAGATTGTTGTGAAAATGGACAAACACTTTCACTCACTCCCCTAATGATCTTGTTGTTGATGGACTTTGTGACAAACACAATAATGGATGAATCACACACTCATACACTTGAGAAACCAACCAAGCACAAAGTGACGCAAGAATTTATAGAGGTTCAGCAATTGCCTACATCCTCTTGGTGATCCCCTTGAGAAATTCACTAATGAAAGAATAAGTTATAACTTTGGTTTACAAAGAAACCCCCTTAGAACTCTATTCTCTCCCAAGCTCTCTTTTCTCTCTCACCCCTTGCTCAACACTTTGATGCACTTGTGAACACTCTCTCACACTTGGTGTTTCCCTCCTTTGGATTCTAGACTCTCAAGACCCAACTCAGCTCCTCAAGAACTGATTGCCCTCTCTCTCTTCCTCCCTTGGTGAGTTAACCTCCTTTGAACACAATAGCTCCTAGCACTACTACGTTTTACTATTTGCGCGACGATAGTTTGCGCGACGAACGACAAATCGTCGCACATAAGATCATTGCGCGACGGACAATCATATGCGTAGCGCAAACTAGAGCGACGAAGAAAATTCGCGCGACAGCACGTACGACCGTCGCGTAAAACTGGGGGAAAAAACCGCGAATAAATATTCTGGCGCCAAATTCTTGCGCGACGTCTACATTCGTCGCAAAAGAGATCTTTGCGCGACGAAACACTTATCCGTCGCGCAAAAAGGTGGAGGGAAAATAAAGCAAATATGGCGCGAATATGTTGCGCGACGACTATGCAAAATTTGGCGCCCTTGGTCTCTTGCGACGATAAATGATGTCGTCGCGTAAGAAAGACGCGCTAAAGATGACTTTGCGCGACGAGTTTGGCATTTGCGCGACGACAATAGTTAATCGTCGCGTATAATCGTTGTCGGCAGACTGGTTTGTGCGCGACGAGAAAAAAGTATGCGCGATGACAAATGTTGTGCGACGAGGAATCTGTTCGTCGCGCAAAAATCTTCCACTTTGCGCCACGACATAGAGGCTTTCGGCGACGAATATGATTTCGTCGCGCAAATGTTCCCATTTTGGCGCGACAATAATTTGTTTTGCGCGACGAAAAATATGCGTCGCGCAAAAAAAGACGTCTTCTACTTTATCGGTTTCAGCCATGGCAAAGGCAAACTGCAAAAAGAAATTGCAGCTTGCCTCTCTCTCTCTCTTCCTCTCTCTCGAACGTTTTGGGCCAAAAAAGGTATTCAATTTCGTTTCCTGTATGAGTTGAAATACCTCTACCACTGCTAAGTTCGTTGGGTATGTATTTTTTGTTGTTAGTGTAAAAGTGTTAATGTAAATTTATACTAACACTATTAATTTGGTTGTCTATAGGGATATTATATGTGATTAGCGATTGGTGGAGAGCGATTGATAAGGTATTTTCGTCGTTTTATAATTTAAAATAAAAAATTTATTACATTATATTTATATTGATTTATGAAATTATATTTGTAATATGTAGTTAAATTATGCATGTACGTTGATGTACGAAGTTAATTGAAATTAACTTCGTATATTTATTTTTTTGGTAAAGCTTAGTTCCCGTTCGAGGTTAGTTGGACCGCGCATGGGTGGGTAAACCACGACTACGGTCCAATTAATTCTTGA